TCCTATGAGTGCCACAGCCTCCTCCAACTATTACTTGGGGCCCCTGGATCAGACATCCTCAGTATGAGGATTAGGAGAATATGTTGCCTCACCAATTTAGGGACAACGCCCCTTGTCAGCTCGGAAGCAGTTATGGAATGAGAACGACGCCCCTTTTCCCTAGGCAACATAATTCTCCTAAAAGAAAAGGGGGGAATGAGAGTCATTTCCTAGGCAGGTTGATAAGAAGTCTAGGGGTCCCCAAGGAGAGAGAGGTCTGGGATATTCAAGGAGGAAGAAAGGACAAACTTTTTAACTTTTTTTTCCTCTACATTCCTTAGGATTATATAACAATAATGTATCCTGCCTGAGGACAATCTTTGGATTAAACCTTCTGGCCAACTCTGTTATCTTAAAGTGTAAATCATGGGAGTGGGTCTGGTGAGGTCTTTGCAGCCTCCAGACATTCTTTAGATTCATTGGAGAGTATATAACTCCATTGCTAATACTAGCAAGGGGGTACTCTTTTGCCCCCTTCTGATGCCTATGTCAGAAGCTTTCTCTATCTCCTTTATACTTTAATAAAACTTTATTACACACAAAAAAAAAAAGTAAAAGGGAGAGGCTCTGAGTTGATAATTTTGAAGCAACATGTGGTCTTTTCATACTTTCTCTCATTAAACATCAGTCATAAGATGTTGGGGGAAAATAATCACAGGATTATTTATATTTTCATCTTGAACCACTTAACCCAGTTACCATAAACAGTATCAAGTTAAACAGTGTTGCAGAACTAAGTACACAAAATGGAAATATTATTGTAAAAGTGGCAAACAGTATCTGTATTTACATGTTTATAATAATTTTCATCCTGTTTCAAATCCCTGTTAAGCCTTCACAGGCAATACTTTAATAACTGCCAATAGAGCATATATTGAGGAAACCAAAATTGAAAAAGACACATATACCCCAATGTTCACTACAGAACTATTTACAATAGCTAGGACATGGATGCAACCTAGATGTCCATAGACAGATGAACAGATAAAGAAGCTGTGGTACATATATGTATAATGGAGTATTACTCAGCCATAAAAAGGAACACATTTGAGTCAGTTCTAATGAGGTGGATGAACCTAGAGCCTATTATACAGAGTGAATTAAGTCAGAAAGAGAAAAACAAATATCATATACTAACACATATATATGGCATCTAGAAAGATGGTACTGATGAACCTATTTGCAGGGCAGCAATGGAGATGCAGACATAGAGAACAGACTCATGTTCTGTTCTGGACAAGGGGGGAGGAGGAGAGGTTGGGACAAATGGAGAGTAGCATGGAAACATATACTCTACCATATGTAAAATAGCCAGCCAGTGGGAATTTGCTCTATGACTCCAGGAGCTCAAACTGGTGTTCTGTGACAACCTAGAGAAATGGGATGGGGTGGGAGGTGGGAGGGAGGTTCAAGAGGGAGGTGATATATGCATACGTATGGCTGATTCATGTTGATGTATGGCAGAAATCAATACAATTATCCTTCAATTAAAAATAAATATTTTTTAAAAACTGCCCATAGATTTAAAACTTAGGCCTACTATTTATTTCAAAAAGGATCACTCTTTGTCTCTTTTCATGCGTGCTCAGTCACATTCGACTTTGTGACCCCATGGACTGCAACCCACCAGGTTCCACTGTCCATGGGATTTTTCCCAGTAAGAATACTGGAGTGGGTTGCCATTTCCTCCTCCAGGGCGTGTTCCTGACCCAGGGATCAAACCTGCATCTCCTGTGTCTCCTGCATTGCAAGTGGATTCTTTTTTGTTGACCACTGAGGAAGCCCTTGACCCTCTACACCCATCCACATAAAAATTCACTTCAGGACTCTACCTCCCTGTGTATTCAATTGTAGTTGTCAATCAGTGTGCATAGCCTTAACTATTAAGATACAAATTCAGACCCAAATTTAAAATCTTGACTCATATTACACAAAATTAAGATGGCTTTTAAGTGGGCTTCCAACTATCAGCAAGTTGGTTGTAACTCAACATTAACAGTGTTAAGCTTTCAAAGAAACTTACTGAAAGGCAGAAACCAGAAAGCTTTATCAGAGTATCAATCTATTAGCTCTCTACTTTTTATATAAAGTTTATTGTTATGAACTCCAAGATCCTCTATATCCTTAGTCACTGGGCCTTTCCCTCACTTTTAAAACACTTCATACCTCTAAATGAATCATCCCTAATCTCCCTTATCAATGCATGAGCATACCAACACTTTCAAAATTACTGTATTACATTTGAATCAGTTCTAATGAGATGGATAAAACGAGCCCATTATAGAGTGAAGTAAGCCAGAAAGATAAACACCAATACAGTATACTAACGCATCTATATGGAATTTAGAAAGATGGTAACGATAACCCTTTATGCAAGACAGAAAAAGAGACACAGATGTATAGAACAGACTTTTGGACTCTATGGGAGAAGGCGAGGGTGGGATGATCTGAGAGAACAGCATCAAAACATGCATATTATCAAGTGTGAAACAGATTGCCACCAGTCCAGGTTGGATGCATGAGACAAGTGCTTGGGGCTGGTACACTGGGATGACCCAGAGAGATGGGATGGGGAGGGAGGTGGGAGGGGGGTTCAGGATGGGGAACACATGTAAATCCATGGCTGATTCATGTCAATGTATGGCAAAAACCACTACAATATTGTAATTAGCCTCCAACTAATAAAAATAATTGGGAGAAAAATTACTGTATTAAACTGAGCTTTCAAATAGAAGGGACTGTCTTTAAGCACATCAGTTTTCCTGGCATTGAGCAGATAGTAGGTGTCCCCCAAATGCTTATGAAGTGGTTATTGAAATCACCAGTAATGTTAAGTCACGAGGGTGAGAACTCAACATGTATCTCTACAACCACAGAATCTAGTTCTAAGTAAGCTTAATTAAAATAGAATGTGTGCTAAAATAGTTTAAGTCTAAGAATGGCATTTATGACCTTCACCCTAATTTATCTAAATTCTTCAAACATATTTTATAGGGGAACTAATTGGATAATCTTCACACAGAATGAGTGCATCTGTGAGAGAATAAATCTTTGAATACACTAAGAAAGCAGTAAGGTCAGAATATTGTGATAAGACAAAACAATTTAAACTACAGCTTCATTTCTGGTAGTGGCCATAGTAGTTTTATAACTACTCATCAGGGCAAGACTAAAAAGTTTTAAAAAGTATTTTCAAAGATGCCGACTACCACCACCAGACTTGATCACATAAGACAACACATGCTGGTAAAAGTCATACTTTTTTGCGTATTAGAATACGTGACAATTATCACTTATCTGACAGAAGTGGTACTAATTATACTGAAAATTACATTAGAAACTCTCAGTGCTAACTTAGGAACAAAGGTTGAAACTTCCTTAGACATGTTTATTTTGCTTAATCATGTTGGTTACATGCATTTGAATACTTTTAACATTCTAAATATGACATGTTCAAATTTAATCAAACAGTGGCACTATGTAGTTACTAATATTGGAACCTTTTATTAAAATGATATTCAAATAATTTTTCCTACTTACGACTTGAAATTACTGGCTTTGGTACATTTAATGAGAAAACAGGACATGTTGCCATAAGAGCAATTCTTTTAGTATTTCATCTATTAAGTAAACATTCTTCAAATGTTTGCTTAAATATAAATCCTTATCTACATCAGGAAATTCTGGAGATTCCTAAAAGTCACTTATCTGATAACCTACATTTTAAGTGAATTTTAGAAATCTTTTAATTTAGCCAATGGGCTTCCCTGGTGGTTCAGTGGTAAACAATCCACTGCCAACACAGGAGATGCAGGTTCAGTCCCTGGGTTGAGAAGGTCCCCTGGAGAAGGAAATGACAACCCACTTCAGTATTCTTGCCTGGGAAATCACATGGACAGAGGAACCCGGGGGGGTACAGTCTATGGGGTCGTGAAAGAGTTGGATGCAACTTGGCAACTAAACAATTAAGCAATACAGATAGGTTACTCAACTCAAATTTCATTCTCTGCTTACCTGAGAACTATAAACAAACCACTACAAGAGGCTTACTTCACAGCCTTTGAACAAGGAGTAAAGCAGCACATAGTTTAAGATATTGTGCTTTATTCAGTTACTATCTTACACATAAAATCCAATGTTATAATGAACTCAGGACAATTCACAAATCCAGACGTTGGTATAATTACAGAAAGCCAACAGCAGAGATCACTAATAGATAAGTGAAAGTAAAACCACATCTCACAGATCCTTCAATATCATGAACATCTCAAATAAATATGCTGAAAAGGTTATTAAGGTAAATGTACCAAGGGAGCCAAGGAGCTAGCTAGTCTTCAGACATCTTAGGAGTTCATTTAATAGGACCAGTTTTCTCATGGATCTGGTGACAACTTATATTCTCTTGGCAGGAGTTGACTTAATGGCAATTACAAATATAAACACAAACGAGACTAAAAAGTAGATATAACCAAGATATGGACACCAAATTTTAAATTCAAAAATGACCTAAAGTAACTCTGTGATAAGTTATTCATGAACTGTAATTTCAGCCTACCATAAAGTTGACTTCCAGGTTATAGCTAAACTTTCCTTTCAAACTACCTGAGACAGAAAAGCTATTCAAGAAGTTGTACAAACCCCCCTGCCCTGGCCCCTCACTCACCTGCACACAGAGGTGCCATCAGCCTGGCCTCCACCTCAGGCTCATGTCAGCAGGAAGGAGGCAGCATAGGGCATTAAAAAAATTGTACAGTGTTTTGACCTTAATATTAACACAAAGGTTAATTAAATAAAAGCAATCAAGCTTAGTTTCACTTACAAAAGAAACAAACCTACAATGAAGGTTTCAAGTATACTTTATTTCTTCAAACATGCCATATCTTAATGGGTACATAGTACTTTCACTTGGCATCAATTATGAGTTGATTTTGAAACAATTCATATTAAACCAGCTGGGATGATTACTGTTCTCTCCATTCCTTTGGGGTGACTCTGCCAACAGGCGATGGGTTCCACTCTATTCCAATTTGTGTTGCCGTCTGTAAGAATTAAAATGCTGTCAGTTATCAGTTATGTTTAAATTAGAGTCCATGCTCCCTTGGAGATTATTTCCTAAAGTGTCAAAGGTATTCTGCTCTATAGGTTAAAAACACACAGTGCCCTCCATGTAGGCCAAACCTAATTGCTGTTCTAATTCTCTTGGGTAGTGCTGTTCAACAGAACTTCCAGAGATGACAGATATGTTCTGTCTCTGCAATGTCCAATACAGTAGCCACCAGCCATATATGGCTAGTGAGCAACTAAGATGTAGCTAGCATGACTGAGCAAGTACATTTTAAAATTTTTTTAATTAATTCATATTGATATTTCACATTTCTATACTACCTCCTCAAAATATTGCTTCACTCAACCACAACTACCTAAGTACTGCCAAGGAGGACATGTGTAATATCCCTTCATCAAGGAGCACTTCACCTCCAAAAATGCCCCTGATAACACATTTGTTCAACATCTGTTTATTCTTCTAATTAAGTACACACTTATTTTAATAACATACCTAATTTCAGGAAGATCAAAACAAGAATGAAAAAGGCCTATTAATAAAGTGTCTTTAATTATTAAGGCAAGGGATATCTTTTAAAATCAATTTATATATTTATTATAACTTCAAGACTCCTACTTGAACCAGCAAGTATGGTAACTGGTAAATAAGACTGGTAAATGTTAGATGTAAAAAACTAAAATATTAAAAGTAAGTAATTTTATATCTCATCCATCAAAAACACTGTACTCAGTTCCAAGGGTAGAATACAGAAGACTGACTAAGCAAAGAAAGGTGACCCAAGATGGTGAAAACTCTGGAAACCATATAACAAAATGACTGATAGAACTAAGAATGTTTAATATCAAAGAGAAGATCCAGGAAACATAGAGATTTTCCAGTATCTAATGGCTGATACATGGAAATATGATCAGAATTTGTGTTGCAATGGAATGATGGGTAAAATGTGGAGGCGGCAGATTTTAACTCAATATAAGATCTTTTCAACAGCTACACAATATGGAAAAGACTGCCTTTTGATCCATAAGTAACTTGTTATTGGAAATGTTAAGAACAGATGATGAACTAATGCTCAATGCTGAGGAAAAACTCCTGCAATGAGTGGGTAATTACGTTAGAAAATCTCTAAAGCCCCTCCTAACTAGAAATGTACACAACTGTGTGAAAACATTTTGAATACATAAACTAAATGGCAATAAGAAAAATCTAAAACAGAGATTATCAGTCAATAGTACTTACATATACCCATACAGCAACACAGAAAGTGGCTCCACTAGCTAATACGGCATTACCATATTTGTCATGGAAATCAGGTGCCCGCTTCTGGTGGATCTGCCTTGCCACTGCTTGCTGAATGGTTTGAACTTAAAGAGAAAAAAAAAAGAATACAGGAGAATATCTACTAATTATCAGGAAAAGAGAACATTTGTAATTGACATTGCCACTTGTGAAAACCAAGGAAGTTACTCTATAGTATTATGAAGTATAATAAAATGTTAAAACATTGTAGCTAAAAGCAAAGTTGCATACTTTGAAATGCTTCACAAATAAGATGAATTGACAAATGGATAATATGTGATATAACAAATAGTGCAAAATGTTAGTTGCAGAATCTACATGCTGGGTATGTGGGTGTTCATTAGATAATTATTCCAACTTTTCAATATGTCTGAAATTTTCCCCAATACAATGTTGAGTGGGTAAAACAAAGAACAAGTGATGTCAGTAACATCCATGATAAATTGGTATTTGTATAATCCTTGAACTTGGCTCCTACTTCATTAATCTGAGTATTTATGATTTTGATTTTCACAAAAGTTTACTCAGCAGTGCTTAACAACTTGAAAAGTATAATACATAGACACTGTTCCCAGGTAACTTCCAGTCTAGAAAAGGCTATTATATACATAGACACAAACCATTATAATACAAGGAAGTAAAATGTTAGCTAAGCACTTTGAATAGCAGGTAGGATTTGGATATGCAGATATGGGAAAAGGAAATCTGAAAAAAAACAAACAGAAAACCCAGTGTACTATAAAACCAATCACGTTTTGAAGGACAAGTTGTATAGATTAGTCCACGTGTGCTAAGTCGCTTCAATTGTGTCCGACTCTGCGACTCTATGGACTGTAACCCACCAGGCTCCTGTGTCCATGGGATTCTCCAGGCAAGAATACTGGAGTGGATTGCCATGCCCTCCTCCCAGGGATCTTCCCGACCCAAGGATCGAACCTGCAGGTTTCCTATGTCTCCTGCATTGGCAAGCGGGTTCTTAAATACTAGCACCACCTGGGAAGCCCCTATACATTAGTAAGAGGAAATGAAGCCACTTTTTTGGTAGAGCTAAGTTTCTGAGCAGAATGACAACATTAAAACTTTGCCATTACTGTTATTTTAGTAGAGTTTTCAAACTGCCTCTGGAGGCACTTGCGGGGCTTGGGAAAGAACGAAGACTAGAAAATGCTTATTTCCAGCTGCTTTTTTTCTTCCTTTCCAATCTAAGTAGCAGGTCCTTATTGTTTCAGAGCCTCAAAAGGTATTTGAGTATGCAGTGAAAATCGTATTAAATAGCAACGTTGCCCATTCATTAGCACTTATGAATATGGCTTCTATGTGATACAATGGGTTATTTCTAGAGTTATTTGACCATTTAATGGTTTCTTAAGGGCTTTACAGGTTTTTGTCACCTTTGGTTACATTTCGAATGGGCAAATCTACATTTCACAATATTCACAATAGAGCAGTTAAAAGTGAACATGTGAATTCCGCATTGAAAGTAAAACCCCCAAACACCCGTCCCTGAGGTCCAAGGCCCTACCTTCTCAAAAGGCAAAGAAAATAAGATTACCAAACAGTTCTGCAACACCTCATGACCTCAACACTCACGTTAGACAAGCGGATTTCTTTAGACCTCTTCTCCGTGACAAAAAACGGTTCAGTTACCACCTATTGATAATTTTATATAAACGTCAACAACTCCATGAGGTAGGTATATTTACTAAGCCTCTATTTTACAAAAGAGGAAAATGAAGTTCAGAGACATTAAATTATTAGCCAAAAGTGAAAGGGATAATAGACGTGGCTTTTGAAATATGAAAAACCAGTCAGGCAACTATTTTTTCGTTATTGTCAAAGGTGCTTCAGTGTTTCGTACACAATCTAGTAATACTTCTAAGGACTTTGAGCTGAAAATAAAAAGGTAGCTAAAGAACTAAATGGTAATTGCTTAAAGTCACTTTCATTGTAAAACTGTTCACGTTACTCAAGGTCACCTTCAGTGCAAATGAAGTATGGAAAAGACTTATACTTCTCCAATCTAGAGCATTATCAATACATAACTCTGGTTTCAAAATTTCCCTGTACTTATCTTTTAGGTAAGAATAAAAACAACCACAATTATTCAGTTAATAATCCACAAAGAACATAAATGCTAAAGTGCTACCATTTAGCAGGTGGCAGCACTGCAATGAAACCAGGAACTGGATAAGAAGCTCTTTTGCGGGTAAATTGTATCCCCAAAGCTGAAATTTACGAAATTATTTAAGGAAAAAGAAGTGTTCACTGCGTCCCCCTTGAAATCGTAGGCTACCAAATAATGAAACAGAGCAGGGTTATGACTCCAGTAACAGAAATAGAGCTGGGAACCCAAACAGAAACGCTGTGCGATTAGGCTAATGCCAAGGACATCTTCCCAATTACTTAGGGTGAGGTGGGAGACCGAGCCTTTAGAATTACAAGGTCGGGCTGCAGATGGAAAGAAAGGTCACGAGAGACCACGAGCAAAAATGGATAAAGGTTGGTTGGAAATGATCTGATCACAATTTTTGCTCACCTCTCAGACGACTTAGTGCGTTTTTGGCCAAGGGAAACATCCTGAGGTTGAACACAAAACGGCTGCAACTACAGCTGCTGGCCTCTATCAATTCGTCGTCTACTACCCTTGCAGACTCCTGAAAAACAAAATGGCTCTCGGCTGCGCTCTTTAAAGAGATTTGATGAAATCTCTCGCGAGACCTGTAAAAAACCTATAGAATTTGTCCTCTTTACCGCACGCAAACGTACGCGCCTTTTGGGAAATGTAGTTTCGCGCTTCATAAATGACTCATTAGGGTATTTATTGAACAAGGAGAAAATCGCTAGTCTTGAAGCCAGGTTTAGGGCTCTTTAGAGGAGAACTGAGACATTAATCTTAGACTAGTCATCAAACGCATAAACTTCACGGTAGTGTTCAGAGGCTTGAGCTTGTATCTCGCTCCACACTAGCCAGTATTTTCTGTTCCCTCCAAACTTCCTTTGTTTCTTTAATTTTTTGTTTCCTAATACTACCTACTAATATTTTGAATTTTGAAATGATTTTAAGTTATGAGGGACGTTGCAAAAACAGTAAAAGGAATTCTTTTTATTTTTTTGACTTCAAGGTAGTCTATCTTTATTTTTCTTTCTTTTGCCTTTTTTTTTTTCTATTCATCTCTATCACTCCACAATATTGCAGTGGCTTTTGCCACACACTGACACGAATCAGCCATGGATTTACACGTGTTCCTCATCCTGAACCCCCTTCCCTCCTCCCTCCCCATCCCGTCTCTCCTCCCTCCCCATCACATCCCTCTGGGTCATCCAAGTGCACCAGCCCTGAGCACTTGTCTCATGCATCCAACCTGGACTGGCGATCAGAAAACAGTAAAAGGAATTCTTAATATGTAGAAAAATCTATGATAAAGCAAATTTAACAAATTGTTGATCATAGAGTCTTGGCTGTGTGTGTTCAGAATACAATTATTTCAATATTTCTGTATGTTTGAACATTTTCATAATAAAATATTATCAAAACCGTGTTTCTTATGTCTCTTGCATGGCAGGCAATTGCCACCTTTAGTCTCCTATAACTGAAGAGTTCCTCTGCTGTCTTTCATGGTATTAATTTTTTTTCTTAAGTTTCAGTTCAGTTCAGTCACTCAGTCGTGTCTGACTCCTTGTGACCCCATGGACTGCAGCACACCAGGCCTCCCTGTCCATCATCAATTCCCAGAGATTTCTTAAACTCATGTCCATGAAGTCGGTGATGCCATCCAACCATCTCATCCTCTGTCATCCCCTCCTGCCTTCAATCTTTTCCAGCATCAGGGTCTTTTCCAATGAGTCAGTTCTTTGCATCAGGTGGCCAAAGTATTGGAGTTTCAGCTTCAGCATCAGTCCTTCCAATGAATATTCAGGACTGATTTCCTTTAAAATTGACTGGTTTGATCTCCTTGCAGTCCAAGGGACTCTCAGAGTCTTATCCAACACTACAGTTCAAAAGCATCAATTATTCGCTGCTCAGCCTTCTTTATGGTCCAACTCTCACATGCATACATGACTACTGGAAAAACCATAGCTTTGACTAGACAGACCTTTGTTGGCAAAGTAATGTCTCTGCTTTTTAGTATGCTGTGTCTAAGTTGGTCATAGCTTTTCTTCCAAGAAGAGTGTCTTTTAATTTCATGACTGCAGTCGCCATGTGCAGTGATTCTGGAGCCCCCCAAAATAAACTCTCTCATTGTTTCCATTGTTTCCCCATATATTTTCCATGAAGTGATGGGACTGGATGCCATGATCTTAGTTTTTGAATGTTGAATTTTAAGCCAGCTTTTTCACTCTTCTCTTTCATTTTCATCAAGAGGCTCTGTAGTTCCTCTTCACCTTCACTTTCTGCCATAAGGGAGATGTCATCTACATATCTGAGGTTATTGATGTTTCTCCCAGCAATCTTGATTCTAGCTTGTGCTTCACCCAGCCTGGCATTTCACATGACGTACCTTAGTGGCTCAGAAGGTAAAGAAGCTGCCTGCAATGCAGGAGACACAAGTTTGATCCCTGGGCCAGGAAGATGCCCTGCAGAAGGTAATGACAACCCACTCTAGTATTCTTGCCTAGAGAATTCCATGGACAGAGGAGCCTGGTGGGCTACAGTCGATGGGGTTGCAAAGAGTTGGACACGACTGAGCAACTAACACTTACTTACTCACTTACTCTGAATATAGATTAAATAAGCAGCCTTGTCATTCTCCTTTCCCAGTTTGGAACCAGTCTGTTGTTCCATGTACAGTTCTAACTGTTGCTTCTTGACATGCATACAGATTTCTCAGGAGGCAAGTAAGGTGATGTGGTATTCCCATCTCTTTAAGAATTTTCTACAGTTTGTTGTGATTCACACAGCCAAAGGCTTTGGCATAGTCAATAAAGCAGAAATAGATGTTTTTCTGGAACTCCCTTGCTTTTTCAATGATCCCTTGGATGTTGGCAATTTGACCTCTGGTTTCTCTGCCTTTTCTAAATCCAGCTTGAACACCTGGAAGTTCTCAGTGACATACTGTTGAAGCCTCACTTGAAGGATTTGGAGCATTACTTTGCTACCATGTAAGATGACTGCGACTGTATCATAGTTTGAACTTGCTTTGGCATTGCCTTTCTTTGGAATTAGAATGAAAACTGACTTTTTCCAGTCCTATGGCCACTGCAGAGTTTTCCAAATTTGCTGGCATGTTGAGTGCAGCACTTTAACAGCATTATTTTCTTACTATAGGTAAGCTTTGAGTACTGTATCAAGATTAGGTAATTTTAAGCAACAGAACAGGTAATGGATCTTCTGACTCCACAAGTTTGTGCTCTGTAATATATTTGAAGAGTACAGGGCAGTTATTTTGTAAAAGTTCCCTCAACTTTTGTATACTTGATGTTTTGTAATTAGATTCAGTTAAGGCACTTCTAACAGAAATACTACATAACAAATGTGTTTTCTTAGGGTGTCTTACCAGTAAGCCTATATATAATATTCGTTTGTCTCATTTTTTTAATTTTAATTTTCTTTTTTTTTTATTTTTGGCTGTGCTGGATCTTCATTGCTGTGCGTGGGCTTTAGTTTCCGCGACTGAGGTTGAATGGGGGCTACTCTGTAGTTGCGGTACACATGCTTCTCATTGTGGTGGCTTCTCTTGTTGCAGAGGGCTCTAGGGCACTCAGGTTTCACTCGTACAACACTGGCTTCGTTGTCCCGGGGCAAGCAAAATCTTCACCAAGCAGGGATGGAACCCACGTCCTCTGCATTGGTAGGTGGGTACTTAACCACTGGACGACCTGGGAAGTCCTTGTCTCATTATTGATAATGCCAACTTTAATCATTTGGTCAAAAGTGTGGCCTCCAAGTTTCTATACTAAAAAGTTACTGTTTATCTCTTTCCAATTATTAAGTAATATGAGAATACATTGAGACGATGTGTATATCCTAGTCTTTATCAAACTTCCACCCACTAGTTTTTGTATTCATTGATGATTTTTCATCCTGGATGAAGCACTATCTGCAATCAAGATTGCCAGGAGAAATATCAATAACCTCAGATACACAGATGATACCACCCTTATGGCAGAAAGCAAAGAAGAACTAAAGAGCCTCTTGATGAAAGTGAAAGAGGAGAGCAAAAAAGTTGGCTTAAAACTCAACATTCAGAAAACTAAGATCATGGCATCCAGTCCCATCACTTCATGGAAAATAGATGGGGAAACAATGGAAACAGTGAGAGACTTTATTTTCTTGGGCTCCAAAATCACTGCAGATGGTTACTGCAGCCATGAAATTCAAAGACGCTTGCTCCGTGGAAGAAAAGCTATGACCAACTCAGACACAGCATACTAAAAAGCAGAGACATTACTTTGCCAACAAAGGTCTGTCTAGTCAAAGCTATGGCTTTTCCAGTAGTCATGTATGGATGTGAGAGTTGGACTATAAAGAAAGCTGAGTGCCAAAGAATTGATGCTTTTGAACTGTGGTGTTGGAGAAGACTCTTCAGAGTCCCTTGGACTGCAAGGAGATCAAACCAGTCAATCCTAAAGGAAATCAGTTCTGAATATACATTGGAAGGACTGATGCTGAAGCTGAAACTCCAGTGCTTTGGCCACCTGATGCGAAGAACTGACTCATTGGAAAAGACCCTGATGCTGGGAAAGCTTGAAGGTGGGAGGAGAAAGGGATGACAGAGGATGAGATGGTTGGATGGCATCACTGACTCAATGGACATGAGTTTGAGCAAGCTTCAGGAGTTGGTATCGACAGGGAAGCCTGGTGTGCTGCAGTCCACCGGGTCACAAAGAGTTGGACACGACTGAGTGACTGAACTGACCTGAACTGATGATTTTTGCCTAAAAGAATTATTAGTATGAAAGTTGCAAAATGATGATTTTTCTAACTCTATCATTCCTTCCATATTTAACACCAGGTATTCTCTTGTAAGGAGAAATTTTATCTTCTACCCTATTTATTTGTTTCTTATCAGTGTGGATTCATGGATTCCAAAGGTTATAATCTATTGCTATCATCATTTGTTTTAAGGCTCAGTAGTCTCAGATGTAGTCAGTAGGATTTCCTTCTGACTTATATAAGACATATTGCTTAAAATTGCTTAATCTTGATACTGTACTCACTTTCTTCATATGTAAAATGGAGAGAATAAGCTTATCTATAGTAAGGCTTATATGTCTTTTTTTTTTTTAGGTCTCCATCCTTTTATTTTGTGAGGATTTCTTTATTTTCTGACACAAGGCTTATCTTGTACTTTCTTTACCCCAGAACTGGAATATATTTTCCTAAGGAGCCTTGATTTCTTTTAGGGATGGCATTTATCAACCTACATTTGGCATTAGGTTTGCTCATTTGTATTGGAGTGTCATTGCTTCTAGTCATTTCAGTGAACAGAGCTAGAAATATATGTTATGAATGATAAATTTATGCAAATACTGCCAATTCCAGTCCAACCCCCAGAAGTTCTTTTTCACTTTTCCTTATTTCATATTTGTATCTCCCTTCTTACACAGTGAGAATCCTAGCTCTCAACGTCAATGTTTTTACATATTACATTATATATATTTCCAGATTTGTTATATCACTACGAAAAACAAATCTACTTAGCAGAGCTTAAGATTTGCTTGCAGTTATTTTTTTTTCTTTAGACTAATGGTATATAGTCAAAGTAGTGTGTTCACAAATTATTCAGATTAGTTCTATTTTCTTTAGTGCAGTTGTTTTTCTTCTGAAATAGAGTTGTGCTCTCTTTTTTCTGTTTTGTATTTAATTTCAGTTTTTTAACCCTTTCTTACTGATGTGATTTTTAAATGTTTAACTTATTTTTAATTGTGGTAAAATATACATGACATAAAATTTACCCTTTTAACCTTTTTAAAGGATACAGTTCAGTGGTATTAAGTACATTCAGATTGTTGTATAACTATAACTACCATTCATCTCCAGAACTTTTTTCATCTTGCAAAACCACATGATTTGCTCTTATATTTTATTTTAAAAACATTAACATTATTCCAAAAGTCAAAACTATACAAACTGGTATACTTAGAGAAGCGTCATTCCCTTCCTTAACTGTTCCACTCCATTTCCTCCAACTCCTGTAGGAAACCAATTTCATTAGTTTCTGATTTAAGCTTTCTGTGTTTCCTTTTGCGAAAATGGTTAAACATGTATATATTTTCTTATTTCGTCTTCTATTTCATACACATGTAGCATAACATGTACATACTTTTGCATTGGGCTTTTCCACTTTAACAATAGATCTTGAAAATCCATATCATTTACACAGTTCTTACTCATTTCTTTTCCTTACAGTTGTGAAAAACTCCAAGGTATTTATGTTCTATAGTCATTCTCCTACATTTAAACATTTAAGTGGTTTTGAGAATATTTCAATTACAAATAGTGCTGAAATGAATAATTTTGTGCACATATATCTTCTTCTTATTGGAGTAGATCCCCAAATGTGGGATTGTTGAATCAAAGGATAAATGTATTAGATATTGTTAAGTTATCCTCCATTTTGTATCGCTACCAGCAATGAATGAGGGTGCCTGTTTCCTCATAGACTCAATGACAGCACATATTGAATTTTGCCAAAATGATAGTTGAGATTTCTCTGTGTACTTAAAAACCTTAATTTTTTATTTGTTAAATTTACATGCAGTAAATTTCACTCTTTTTTTAGTGTAATAGTCTGAGTTCTGACAAATGCAAACAGTATGTAACCACTCCAACAATTAAGGAGAGAAACGTTGCACCCTCACAAAAAATCTCCTTGTGTGACCCTTTTGTAGTCAATCCCTTTCCCACCTTCAGTCCCTGATAGCTACTGATCTGTTCACTTTCTAGAATGTCACATAAATGGAATGATATGGCATGTCCAAGTGTTTTTTTTTTTTTTTGTATTTTTCATATTATGTGTGTCTCTTAACGTTTTAATTTTTTTCACCTCTCTGTATCAAATGAAATCTCTTCAGAACCAGCTCTTTTCCCTTTCATGCCCATCTCTTTGTCTCTCCAGCTTAATGAAATTATTTTCCTCTGTGTGTGTGTATGTCTCATCAGGGCCTAAAAGAATGGTCATATGATATTCCAAAGCATGAAAATAAATCCAAATTACAGGCGATTGATTTTGTTGGTGGTTTTCCTCTTGACTATATTATTTTTCTTCAATAAAATCATTCCAGTTTTACAACTCACTATGATAAACAGAACTGGGACAAATAAATGGAAAGTTCTGCTATGTAGGATATTTGTTATTTTTTAGAAAAGGGATTTGGATATTTAAGACAACCGATTATGACACAAAAACTTTAAAAAGACGTAAGTGCTTTCTTACAACCTTAGTGTGGCATCCACCCCTCAAACAAACTAATGACAAGTAAAAAAAAAAAAAGCATTTGTTGTCTATAATCAAAATTTAACTCCTTGTTGGTGCCTGCCTCATACATCTAAAACATTGCCATGAATAAGCACTTTAGAAAATAACTTTTGACATCTGCTCTGTTCAGCACACGTGGCACCGTCTTAAAAAAAAAAATCTCCTTCAGCAATATTGTTTTTCCTTTCTTGCTTTTTTACCTTTTTTGGATTTGAAACACTTTGGAGGCCAAATGACGGGCTTGGGATTGGTGTCATCAATTATATGGCTGGGCAAAATTTTCTAGAATAGTACATGAAAGGTGGGTTTCTTTTTTTGAAATTAATTTAGTTTTTTCTTTATTTTTGGCTAGGCTGAGTCTTTGTGTCTGCCTCTCTGGGCGGGGGTGGTGAAAGAGGCGGGGATGTCGGGCGCTTTCTCTGGTTGAGGGGAGCAGGGACTACTCTCTAATTGCGATGCCCGGTTTCTCATTATGGTGGCCTCTCTTGCTCTGGAGCACGGACTCTAGGGCCCGCTGGCTCAGTAGTCGTGGCCTGGGGCTTAGCTGCCCTCGCAGTATGTGGAATATTCCCAGATGGGGCAAGATCAAACCATGTCCCCTGGATTGGCAGGAGGATTCTTAACCACTGGACTACCAGTGAGGTCCGGTCGATTTCAAAGACTTCTAGAAGAAACTGAGGAGAAAAGATCCTGTTTTATCTCCAACACGGAAAAGCCGCAATGCTTCACAACTGCGCAGGCGCGTTTCAAGAGCCTACACCCGCCATCTTTACGTTTAATGAAAGGGGTGGTCCATCACCCTTAGCGGACCAATGTAAAACCTCCAGATTATCGTTTTTGTATTGGCTAACGGAGACCAATTAGCAGTGAGCCGTCTTTTAGCGGGCGTTTGGCAGTACAGCGTCGTGACGTTTTGTGAGGGGACTACCGACAGGGCTGAGCGGGGCCAATGAGAAGGGGAAAGGGGGCTGGTTTGCCTGTTCTCACGCCCAACCAACCCTCAGACCCAGCCCTAGGAAAGTTTCCCTTCTAGGCGGGAGAGAAGGCTAACATGGCAGCGCGTTGGTGGCGTTGGTTTGTCTCTGCAATCATGGCGGTGGCACTGCTGCTCGTTTTCGGGGTTCCCTCAGCCTCTGCCCAGAGAAAGAAGGAGGTGAGGACGCTGTTTCCAGCAACATGGGCTTTTCCGAACTAGAGGGGCTTGAGAGAATCTGTTTTGTTCTTCCCGATCCCTTTCCCCGCGTCTTTGGTGGCTTAATTTCTGCCGTTTTTAGAATTGTGGGGTTCGCAAGAGAAGAAATCGTAACACTTTGTCTTCTGGGATTGTCGAGTCTGAGAGTGGGGCGGAGTAGGTGACAGCCTGGCTTCTGTAGGCCTGTGGATAAACAAAGCTACGAATTTTGACACTTCTTTGATTATGGGTCCAATCAGGTGGTGGAGGGAAGTTCGACTTTAGGTTCAAGGGGTAGAATATCTGACTCTGCTGTCAATAGATGTGACTTCCTTTTAGACATGTAAGGACTATATATTATGTAGCATTTTCACTTCGGGAATGAGAGGATTAAACAGAAGAGCGGAGCTATGCCAAATTTTTTCATTGTCCAAAAAATTGATTGAAAGCAATTTCAGTTCAGTCGCTCAGTCCTGTCCGACTCTTTGTGACCCCGTAGACTGCAGCATGCCAGGCTTCCCTGTCCATCACCAACTCCCGGAGCTTACTCAAACTCATGTTCATAGATTTGGTGATGCCATCCAACCATCTCATCCTTTGTTGTCCCCTTCTCCTCCTGCCTTCAATCTTTCCCAGCATCAGGATCTTTTCCACTGAGTCAGTTCTTTGCATCAGGTGGCAAAAGTATTGGAGTTTCAGCTTTAGCATCAGACCTTCCAATATTCAGGACTTATTTCCTTTAGGATGAACTGGTTGGATCTCCTTACCGTCCAAGGGACTCTCAAGAGTCTTCTCCAAAACCAGAGTTCAAAAGCATCATTTTTTACATGCTCAGCTTTCTTTATTTACCGGAGTGAAGTTCTTAAGCCATTTTCAACCATTTACCAAATATCAAGCGCTCAAGCCATTGTTCTGGGAACTTAGTATACATGAGTGAACAAAACTAAGGTCCCTCCTTGTGGAATTTACTGGCTTTGACAAGTGGAGGATATACAGTGTTCTTTACTCACTGTTAAGCAATCCAAGGTGAGGATTTTTAACATTATTGTTTTGAAACATTTGTGACTTAGAGCTGTTTGCTCTTAAGAGCTTTACAAATTACTAGCAATTGTTTATGCGCTCTAATTTTATAAATGAGGAAACCTAAGGCCTAAGCTTACATGGTTAACCGTTGAAGAACAAAGACTAAGATCTTTGGTTAGTCTTATGCTATTTCCTGTACATTTTGTGCTTCCTTTTGTACACAATACCTGTGTGTGCGTGCCTGCTAAGTTGCTTTAGTCGTGTCCAACTCTTTGTGACCTCATGGACTGTAGCCCACCAGGCTCCTCTGTCCGTGGAATTCTCCAGGCAGGAATACTGGAGTGGGCTGCCATGCCCTCCTCCAGGGGATCTTCCCCACCCAGGTTTTGGACCCCTCATCTCACATGCACTTTTAAAATGCCATTTAATCGGCTCAGATGCTTGTCAATTCGAGCTGAATTTTAAAAGAATCTGCCTTCTCTGTTGCTGAATATTTGTCCTATGCCATAAAAAAGGTAGCATATTAAAACGAGTTACTTATTAGATTGGCAAAAAGTGAAGTTAAAAATATACAATATACAAAGTGTACAAAATGAGCAAGCTCCTATACTGGAGCTAGAAATCGAGGGGCTTTTTAAGGAGGATTCCAAGCCATTTTTTTATGTGGAAAACAAAATGTAGAGCAATACATAGTTTTATATTCTGGAGACCTTTTATGTTAAAAAAAAAAACTACAAGTTATGTATACATAGAAAGCTTTGTAAGAATATAGAACAGTGGCTACTCTGGATAGTTGGGATTGTTCATTAGGGGAACACTAACTTTTTACCTTGTATGCTGGTATTGTCTACATTTCTACAACCACCACTTGCCCTTTTAAGTAAAAAAGTGTAGATTTTTAATAGCCAGTATTTCTATTAATTAAATTATTTATTCATTTAACCTCCCACTAAACTAGAAGCAGAAGAGCCTAGCAGGGGATAAAATACATTTAAAAGGGATCAGCAGTGAATTGTGCACTTTAAAATTGTTAACATGGTAGGTTTTATGTTATGTGAATTTTATCTCAATAAAATTTTTTAAGGAATCAGATTCTAACTCCCCTCTCACCATGCCCACTGTTCAAGACTGTTATTGCTCTTGCAAATTTATTGCCATAACTGTCTAACTGATCATCCTTGAACTCATCCTATGTTGCCAGAGATGCTAAGGAGAAAAACTGAAAACCAAAAGGTTAAAAAAATGTATTTTGCAAAGTACAGAAGAACTTATATAATCTGTTTCTTCGCAGACTCATCTCAATTCAAGCTCCTCCTTATACTGGCTGCAAGTCATGTGGGATCTCAGTTCCCTGACCAGGGATCAAACCTGGGCCCCATGAGTGAAAGCACTGAATCCAAACCTACGGGCTGCCAGGGAATTCCCTGGAAAAGATTGAATGCACAAAGCATACAGAAACATTAAAAAATGGTCTTAATAATGCTAGGATGGCAGATAGTTTTCCCTCTTTTCTCAGTTTTCAAAATATTGTGTAAAATTTTAAAGAGCATGTATGTTAATATAATCCAAGTGATCTTTAGCCAGTTACTCTGAGTCTCATTTTCCTTATCAGTAGAATGAGAAAATGCCTATTTATTTTCATATTGTGAAAATTAAAGGAGATAGAGCCTGTAAAGTGCCTAATATAATATCTGGCATGTAGAAGACATTAGATGAATATTAGAAAATAAAATAATATTGTGTTCCTCTGCAGTATACATTTTTAAAAATTTATTTGGCTGTGTTGGTCTTAGTTGTGGCCTGTGGGATCTCCATTGCGTTATGTGGGATCTTTCATTGAGGCAAATGGACTCTAGTTGTGGGAGCTGGCTCAGTAGTTGTGGCGCATGGGGCCAGTTGCTCCACAGCATGTAGGATCTTAGTTCCCTAATCAGGGATCAAACCCACATCCCCTGCATTGCAAGGTGTATTCTTAATCACTGAACCACCAGGGAAATCCCAATATAAAATATTTTTCAATTGATCTTTTTGTGTCAAGATTTTATGAAGATTATTCAGAAAATAAAATTATCTGCATATTTTCACAAGGCAGGCAATACTGAAAAAACTTCTATATTCTCTGACATTGCTTTGAGAACTGATACATAAAAGTGTCGCATGCACAAAATCCCAGCAATTCCTTAGAAAATACCTTATTACCAAGAACCAAAGGCTCAATAGCATTGCAAAACAAGCAAATTGAGACATCCTCCACAAATAAAACATCTAGTGGAATATTTTAGCCCTATCCAGGAAATATGTAAACCGAGAATGGAGCAGATAGCATTTAAGGATTACAAATACTGTCTTCTCTGTTCACTGCCTTTCTCCTTCAGTCATTATCTGCCAAATATGTTTCCAGATCTGTTCAGTCTCACTCTTAATTTAAGGATAGAATTCGAAATTTATTCCTTAACAAGGAGTTTTTTAAACTAACATTTGTAGACTAGTGGATTATTAGGAAAGCTAAAAATCAAGAATTTTTATGAGTAAACCCTGATGGTCTAGAACACAGATACAATGAAGTAAGTTTTAAGTGAAAAGGAGGTGCATATTAGAGGAATTCAGACCAGTGATGCTTAGCTTTATTCTGAAATTTAAAAGTAATCTTAATGGCAGGATCAGAATTTAAATGATAGTGAATTCTTATATGCTATCTTTGATAAGTGATATTCAGTGATATAAGAATTTGTGATTGTTAAAGCTTAATCTACTTTGCTAGAGCTAATTGAGATATTATGCAAGGAAGCAGAATAAAATTAAACTGTTGTTACTGCAATTTCTTATACTCCTAAAAGTTCATCATACTTGATTATTACTAACAGGATTAGAGGTATTAATTGACTTCCTGTTAGTGGGATTAATTTACACATTTCAAGAGGAGAGCAAGACTTTAAGCTTACTTAATTTTGTTGGTATTATATTTTGATTGTGAATATTATCACTCTTCTTTTTATTTGAGTACTTGAAAGTAATGTACTCCAAGAAGGGGAGAAACAAATCTAATGTTTTTTCATAGTAAACTTTTGTTTTGAATAAATAGATCCAGTGCAAATTTTAAAACTGGATGGATATATTTTCTCAAATGTTTTTTTAAAACAATTAGTAGAAAAAGTATTTGAAATAGAGATGGTTCCAAATCAGTTACTACGTTGAGTTGCTGAGTTCAGTTGATAAATCTCTTACTTCATGTACTATCATCCTTGGAAAGTGAATTTCTTACTAATAACTCTAAAGTATTAAATAGTAAGTAGAAGGACCTGAAGGGCCCAGGTGACATTTTAACTGTTTATGTTTTAAATATATATATGTGTGTGTGTGTGTATTTCTTCTTCTTTTTTTTTTTTTGCTGTACTGAGTCTTCGTTGCTGCCTGGACTTTTTCTCAAGTTGTGGAGAGTGGGGGATACTCTCTAGTTGTGCTGTGTGGGCTTGTCATTGTGGTGGCTTCACATTACAGAGCACAGGCTCTAGGGTGCACAGGCTTCAGTAGTCGTGGCAAGTGGACTCAGTAGTTACAGCTCCTGGACTCTAGAGCACAAGCTCAATAACTGTGGTGCACAGGCTTAGGTGCTTCCTGGCATGTGCGATCTTCCCCGACCAGAGATCAAACCCGTGCCTCCTGCATTGGCAGGATGGATTCTTTACCATTGAGCCACCAGGAAAGCCCCTTAACCGTTTACTTTTGATTATTATGACTTTGAAAGATAAAGGAATATCTAGAGAGTGATTAGTGGGACTTAATGTAGAGGCTATAGGAAAACGAAATTTTTGTTTCTGAGCCATAGCTTTCAGTAACAAACAAAGGGCTCTTAACGATGGATGAGAGGCACCCCTAAGGAAGAAGTTTCTTCATTACTAGAGATTTACTCCAATGAAGAAAACTTTTAACTCAAATATTAAAAAAAGAGATATTCTTTT